GCACTCTGGGGAGCCCCAAGGATGGCAGCTGGGCCAGCTGTTCAGGCCTGGCCAGGGCACACAGCAGCCGGTTCTCCTGCTCCAGCGCCGCATTGCGCTCCTCCAGGCGCCGGATCTGCTCCTTCAGCACCTGCATCTCCTCTCGAACCACAGTCACGATGTGCAACTTCACCAGATCCTGGGGACCAAACGGGCCAAGCATCAGGGTGGCCAGGCCACCCAACTGCATCTCAACTGCATCCAGTGTCTGGAGGGTGTGTCTGTGAGAGGTCCCTGTGCCCAAGGAGGAGGGACCATGGGGGAGGACACAGGGCAGGAGGAGGGCAGGGGGCCAGGATGAGGGACAGAGGCAGGGCTCACAGATGGGGATGGGGACCAGGGCCCAAGGGCTGTCAAAGCCCGAGGTGTGGAGTTAGTATTCCTGAGGAATGGGGCAAGCAGGGTGACACTCTGGGGCCCATAATGGGGTCTAAGATGTCCTCTCTTACAATGGCTTTTTCGATCTTGTCACTGTCAGTCAGCATGCTGGAGCTACTGCAGAGACAAAGGAAGGGAGAGGTCAGAGGAGCCAGGGGTCTTCCTGGCCACTGCTCAGACTCCGAGGGGGCTGGCAGCAGCCTCAGTCCCAGGCCCCTGTACCTGTGACAGTAGAGAATCAGGGGCAGGGGTGTTTTATCCAACCCTAGGAAGGGTGAGGCCCGCTGCCCAGGCCTCCCAGGCCTGGTGTTGTGGCTTTCCACTTGGCCTAAGACAGCGTAAGCTGCCCCTGGAGAGCACGGAGAAGAGATGCAACCCCTTTTTCAGCCTGGCCCCTGAGCTGTTCCCGCTACTCGGGTCTCAGAAGCTGACACGAGGGCCTTGACAGAGAGCCCTGGCACCGCCATTTTAGGGGAGAGCGTCCACACGATGGATACCCCTCTCTTGTCTGAAATCGACCCACTCAGCCTCAACTTTATATTCCTTCAAGTCATCCTTCAACTTTCCCCTTCCTAGTGGCCTACAACATCAGCTGGACAAGCAGAAGTTTTGTTTCATCTCTGTGCTCACCCTGAGGTGAGAGTTTAAGGCTGAGGACTACATTTACTGGGTTCAGGGCTGAGCAGAGGCATAGGGTCTATTCAGCAGCACAGCCAGGGCCCGCAGGGGCAGCTTCAGC